AATCTGTTATAAACTTATTTCTGTCAAGAAATTACATACGTTTTAATATGTACATTACTATTTGATTCAAGATTAAATTTTCTGGGAAAGATATTTACAAATTCTACAAAACATGGAGGCTATAGTGAAAAATCACTATATCATGTATCAGTTCACATATTTTAGAAAGCTTAAAGAATCAGCTCTGTAGTTCAAGAAGGAAGCAAATTACTGAACTGTCAAGGTAATTACTTCAGCATCAGTCTTTGATTTTGCATGAAATCTGGCCCAAGTAAACTGGACTGGAAACTGAAATTAGGACTTATATGGCAAAAGTTTGAGGCAGCTGGGACGTGCAGTGGATAGAGCACCAGGCCTGGAGTCAGCAAGCTCTAAGTTCAAATCCAACCTCAGACTGTATGTCTACTGTGTGATCCTCGGCCGGGCAAGCCATTTAATCCCCATTTGCCTCAACTCCTCATCTATAAAATGGGGGCACAATAAAGAAGGAAATGACAAACCAGCCTCTTTGCCAAGAAAACCCCAAGGACAAAGTCCAAGGGGTCACGTAGAATTAGATACAAGTGAATGACTGAACAATAATAAGGCAAAGGCTTTATTAGGCATGTGGATAGAAAACATAAAGTTACAGTGACCAAAACCTACAACCTTGTGAGCAAGCTGCTCAATATTTAGTTCTCTTTGCCTACAAAATTACAAACAGCACACATTTTGATTTAATGATTCATCAACTTTTACCAATCCATTGTACCTAGAAATGACCCTTAATGTCACTGATCTTACAAACAAGTGTCATGACTATACTTTATAAACAAGAGCAATGTACAATGAATAAGAAATTAATCTTACAGACTAAAATTGTTTATTATGACCCTTTTTACTGAAGCAAAGGTTCTGCCTCAAAGTCTGAATCATTAACCAATGAATTTGTTTCTTTATTCCTGCTTCCTGGTCAGCTAGGTAGGTTTCCAGTATTTCAAGCAAAGTTAGATATATTGGTTTATTCTGCCTGATTGCAATTGGTAATGCAGGAAATACTACCATCACAGATTCTCTCAAGTCTTTCTTTCCATAACCAATGCCAAAATATTCTTATGTTTTCAAACAAAATCAATTCACACTCAGAGACTAAAGAATGACTAGGTTCCTATAGCTAAAAACTTATATTTTGATCATGAAGGATATTAACCACAAAAACTTGCAACATTTCTAAATATAAAACGTTAACTTTGAAATGAGGTAACAACATTTGCTATTTCATATTTGATACAAATGAACCCAAGTATACTTAAGATGGGATATGTCAAACAGTAAATAACACTTCCTAACATAACAAAAAACTTGTCTTTTAAAAAGTGCTTTTAACCTTGCCATAAAACCTATGTATTAAACATTTACCTCCCAAATGGCAAAGAAATAACAGCAATAGCAGCATCTTGTATTAGAAAAAAATGATGGACCTGAGTTTAATCCTGACTTTTAACATTTACTAGCTATCTGACTATAGGATTTGCAACTGCTATGTGCCTCAGTTTCCACAGCTGTAAAATGGGACTAATACTAATAATTATTACTAATAATGTAATAATCAATACTAATACTTATAATATAGTATCCTAAATGAGGGTTGCTTTGAATATCAAATCCAAAAATGTACATAAAACATTTCTCAAACTTTAAAGTGCGATTATAAACATTAGCTATTGTTATGACGAGAAGCATCATGGCACAGTGGTGGTAGGGCTGACCTTGGAACCAGGAAGTGCTAGGTTCAAGTCCTACCTCTGACCTCTCCCCCCTCCCCCACACACACACCAAGCTGTGTGACTGGGCAAGTCAATGAACCTCTCAGTGCTCCAAGCAGCTCTCTATGACTCTAAGATGCAGAAAAAATGCTACCATACCTTGCTAAAGGGAGTTTCTTGATTTGGGAGTTCCCTACACCAATGAAACCACAGGTACAGTCCTATCTCCTTTTCAGTATAACTTCACATTACTACACTGATACCTAACACATCACTCTCCTTCAGTGTTTTGTATCTGGGGCCCTTAAAAATCAAAATTTTTCCAATTCCAATTAAAATTAATCCAACAAATTAAAATAATTTGACATAGAACAAAATCCAGTAAACTTCTGGTTATAATACAATTTGTAAACAAATAGTAATAATAAAAAAAACATGAAAAAAGGAACATGGTAAAAATTAAGACATCTTACTGCTACTAAATTTAGACACAACACCAAATCAGTGTTCCCACATTCTAACTCTAATAATTAAAGACTAGCAAACTGTAATTCTGTATTAAAGCAAAATATTCAATAAAAAGCAAATCTGATACACATGAACACAACCAAGAAAATAACAATGCCATTCATCAATCTTGTCTCTTTTGGAGATAACGTTTAATTTGAAAGAAGAGCATTACATTAAGTGCAATGCATATTTTATACATATGTATATACACACACACACATACATATGTGTGTATGTGTGTGATATATATATATATATACACACACATATAAAACTTAAGACAAAGTACTGGATTTTCCCTTTGGCTTCATTTTTCAAGTTTTTTATATTTATAAAGACTTCCTAATTAGCAGTAGTATATGAATGTAAATTCATGACATTTTCCTAATAATAAAATAAAAACACTTTAGTCCTCTTATTTACAAAAGATATATTCCTGTGATATTTTCACATCTTTTTCACTCAGGACTGAAAAGTGTAACTTTTCTTAAGGTTTCAAAACTTTAAACATTAATGCTAAATTAGTTCATTTACTCCATATCTTCTTCACTGCTTATTCTTCAACCCATTTCTATCTGTGAAATTCCCTGCATTTGCCATTTCTTGAATTTTATATGGAAGAATGTCTATCAGTTCAGTGTAGCCAGAATGCACTCATGATATACTAGAGATAGCTTTTAAAAACTCAATATTTACCTTGCAGAAACATTATCAATGTTACAAAGTCTAAACTGCAGCAAAATTGCCTAAAAGTATTTTGTTGTATTTCCTCTTTCAGGCGTTTTAAAAAAAAAAAAAAAGAGAATCCAAGTAGTAAATCATTACCTTTTAAGTTTTCATCCTGATACATGGTATATGAGAAATGTGGCAAAGAGTACATTTGTTGAAGCTTAGTCAGAATTTATACCCACTTCTGTAGTTCTTAATTTTAAAAACATAAGATCCCAACAGCATCAAAATAGTTAATATTTCTTATTTACTTCTTAAGTCGGCTACTGATTAGGTATAAAAATTTAACCTTACACACAGGTTGCACATCACTTCTCTCTCTACCTTCCCACCCCCAATCCTCTGAGTAACCTAATGAGAGGTTCAAATGAATAGTCACCTTACAACAAAAATGCAACATACTTTTCAATCTAGATGCAAACAAGTTAAGGACACTGGAATGATACAGAAGTGAACCCAGAAGTTTGGTTTACATACCACTGGAGAGAGTTATCAGGGGATCGTGAACTTGGAGGGAGAAAAAAATTGCATTTTTACTTTCACTAACTTTTAGTTTCTTTTATAATCCTCTGTATTTTATTTTATGCAATGTATAATAACCTATCATACTGCTTGCTTTCTCAATGGGTGGGGGAGGGATTGGAAGGAGAGAGAATTTGGAACTCAAAATGAAAAAAAAAAAGAATGCTAAAAACAAGGAATGGATTTTTAGGGAGTTATCCTGAGAAGTGGTCCCATTGGTTTCACTACACTGTTCCTTTATAATCTTCTGTATTTTATTTTATGTATTTAAAAATATCCTATCATATGGCTTGTTTTGTCAATGGGTGGGGCAGGAGGGGCTGAAGGGAGAGAATCTGGAACTCAATTTTTTAAAATGAGTATTAAAAATAAATAGATAAATGAAAAGAGATTATCCTGAGAAAGAGTTCCACTGGTTTTACCAGACTGCCAAAAAGTTTAGTTTTCTTTATAATCTTCTGCATTTTATTTTATGCATTTAAAAATATTATCCTATCATACTGCTTGTCCTCTCACTGGGTGGGAGAGAAGCAGTAGGTGGTGAGAGAATCTGGAACTCAAAATTATAAGATATGAATGTTTAAAACAAATAAATGAATGAATTTAATTACCCTGAGAAGGTGTCCCAGACTGCCAAAGGGGTCCAGGATACGAAAAAGGAGAACCCTTGTTAATGAGGTCTAAAAATCAAAAGTCACACCTCCATCACCAACTAGTTAGCTGAGAATGGGAAAGAATAACACCGGGGCTTAATCTGGTATGCTTTCCCAGCACACTTAACACAAAAAAATAGGCGCTTTAATAAATACCAGTTGATTGACACACTGGGTGCTTAATCCATGCTAACTGGCAGTAGATAAATGCATGCTGACTTCTTTTTTCAGTCAATAAGCATTTATAGAGCGCCTACTAGGTGCTAAGAGATGGGTGCACAAAGAAAGGCTAAACACAGTTCCTGCCCTCGAGGAGCTCCCAGTCTCCAGTGGGAGACAGCAGACAAACAAGCGATGGAGAGAACAAACTGTGGGATCTGGGAATGGCTTCCTGAGCCAGGCTCCGGCTTTTGCCCGCACCCTTTTCAGTGACGGGGGGTTCCCCCTTCCCGGTTAGTAAACAGCTCCTAAGTGCCCGCACTCTTCCTCCCCGGGGCTCAGACAAACGCGAGGGAAAATGAAAGTCTGAGCGGCACCAGCACCAGCACCCGAGCTTCCGGATCGGACCGGGCCGGGCCGGAGGGGGAGGGGGAAAAAGACGTTGCTCAGGAAAAACAATCCTCCTCTTCCTCCTTGTCCTCCTGCTCGGAAGACGTCTCCCGCCCGCCAGAGCAAGCAGCGGGCTGGGATCGCCCGTCCTCCGAGGGCCTGGCGCCAGAAACGAGCGCTCCCCCCTTCCCGGTCTCCCGCGGGGCTGCGAGGGCGGGGGGCGCCTTTTGTGCCCGGCGGGGGGCGGGGAGCGGGGCCGAGCAGTGGCCGGGGCGGGCGCGGCCTCGCTTACCTGCAGTTCGGTGAGCAGGATCTCCCCCCGCTCCGTGTTGGACGCCATGGCACTCGGCTCGGGGCCCGGATGCCGCCGCCGCCGCCGCCGCCGCCGCCGCTCGCGGAGGGAGGAGGGCGAGGAGAGGCGGCCGGCGGGCTAAGGCAAGGAAGGCTTCATGGAGGGGCGGCCCCGGCTCGAGGCGCTTATTCCGCCCGCCGCATCGGAGGGGCAGCCCCGGCCGGCCACGGCGGGCCCGGCGGCGGCTGCGGCTGCGCCTGCTGAGGGGAGGGGGGGTCAGTCGGGGTGGCGGCCGCCGCCGAAGCTGGGCTCGGCTCGGCCCCGCCGCCGCCGCCGCCGCCGCCGCCGCTCCTGCAGCTGCTGCTGCTGCTGCTGCTCCCGCTCCCCCACCTCCTCCTCCTCCTCCTCCTCCTCCTCCTCCTCCTCTTCCTCCTCCTTCTCCTCAGAGCGAAGGCAGGAGGCGCTTCAGGTCTCTCGGTGCGGGGCGCTGCGGCCGCGGCTGCCGCTCCTCCTGTCGCACCATTTGGCTGTCAGCGCGTCGCAAAAGCGCCCTCGCTTGGCGGCTGTAGGGGCACGTGACGGGGCCGCGAGGCCGACGCCTCCCGGCCGGCTGGGGCAGGACAGAGCAGGCGGGGCTTCCGGAGGGAGGCGGGAGGAGGAAGGCACGCCCCCCTCGTCTCCGCCTTTAACGGCCTGTAGCGTGGCGAGCCTGGGAGCTGGAGGGTCGAGGGCGGGGCCGGCCGGGGCTCCCCCAAGAGGCCCGCAGCGGCTGCAGTTAGCATTGATGTAGCGCTTAGAGGGCCACGAAGCACTTCACCCACGTCACCCTCTCCGGGACAGCCTGCGCTTGGGCCCATTGATCCTTCCACTAACCTGGTGCGGTCCTTTGAGCGCGCACAAACCCTGGAGCTCCCTCCGCCTCTGGATGCCTGGGCGTAAAGCGGCACTTGGCATCCTCCTGCTAGAGGCCCTGGCTCTCCCCCCCTCCTGCTGCTGGGACCTCCCCAAGTTACTTTGTATTCATATTGTGCTTGTATACATAGTAACGTGTATATGAGCATGTACGTAGCATGTATGCCTAAGCAACATTGTGTTTAGGATAGAGCTCGGGGCCTGGAGTCTGGAAGACCCAGGTTCAAATGTGGCCTCAGACACTTCCTAGCTGGGTGACGGTGGGCAAGTCCCTTCACCCTGTTTGCCTCAATTTCTTCGTCTGTCAAATGAGCCAGAGAAGGAAATGGCAAACCACTCCAGTATCTCAGCCAAGAAAATCCCAAATGGGGTCATGAAGGGTCAGAACCAATTAAACAACAAAAATGAATCGTCTTATGTGACAGGGTACTTGTATTCATTATGTATGTATGTGTGTGTACATATACATATATACACACGGTATATATAGGCTATTTGTTCACTGTATAGCGGATTATATGGTATTACTTTATTAATTTTTTACCCAGCCATATGTGTATATATGTATGTGTGTGCGTGTGTGTACATACCTATACATATGCATATGTACATATATCTTGTGTGGAACATATGTGGAACATGAAATATATGATGGGGTGTTTATATTCATTATATATGGTATGTAAGCTATGTGTTGACACTATGTGGTATTACTTTGTATTCATTTTGTATATATGTGGTATTACTTTGTATTTATTTTGTGTTTTTGTACATATCCATATGCATATATGTATGTGCAAATATGGCTATATAAATATGACGATCTTGTTTATATATATGAAACATTGCATACATGACAGGACATTTTATTCATTTGTATGTGTTTACACATATATGTATATATTTGGAAATACAGGATATTTTTCACTATATGGCATATATGTGGTATTATTTGGTGTTCATTTTGTGTTTTATACATAGCTATATGTACATAGGCATATACACATAAGCATATGTGAAATCTTGTTTATGGTGGCATTTTATTCATTGTATGTGTAGTGTATAGAGTTTCTTTATATATGTAGTATATGTAGGGCATTACTTTATGATCATTTTATATTTTTTACTCATGTACATATGTGCAAATATGACATTGTTTTCAAAAATGAAAAATGACATATTCAAGAGGGTATTTGTATTGATTATGTTATATGTGGCATACAAAGTATATTTGTTCACTCTGTATATATAGTATTTATAGACATTTTGTATTTTTATATATAGACGTGTATATATGTATATAACATTTTGTTTGTGTATGTAAAATATGGCATATATAACACAGGGTATTTGTATTCATGCATATATATTTAATATGTGTGACATGTGTAGGATATTTGTTCACTCTATATATTGTGTGTATATATAGTATTTTTATATATTTCATATACATGCTATATGTAAATATGCATTTATACACACACAGCATCTTGTTTATATAAATATATGGCATATATGATGATATTTATATTCATTACACATATGTGTATATGTATATATAGCAAGGTGTGTATATATAGCATATATAGGATATTCACTCTGGTATATATGGTATTGCTTTGTATTCACTTTATATTTTTATACATAGCTTTATATATGCATGTACATATATGCATATATGCTACTGTGTTTATATGAAATAGCCTATATGACAGGATTTTTATATTCATTGTATATTTGCTATATATAAATGGTAAATATAGGGTATTTATTCACTGCATATATGGTATTACTTTGTATTCATTTTGTGTTTTATGCATGTATATACATATGTAACACTTTGTTTATATATATATATAAAATATGGCATCTATAACAAGGTACTTATATATATTTATATGTGTTTTATAATAGGGCATTTTATATATAAGGTGTTTGTATTCATTTATATATATATTTGGTATACATATATAGGGTGTTTGAGTTTATTTTATATGTATATGGCATACATATATATATACATGTATGTATATAAGGCATTTATATTCATATTATAGATCTATTTAAAATGCACATACATGCATACATATATATGATATTTGTATTCATCTTGTATATACATTTGGTACACAGATAGACACACATAATATTACAAAAGTCTTAATGCAGTTTAAAACTGTTAAGACTTTTGAGACACCTCTATGGGAAGTGTGTGTTTATATATTTGGCAGCCAGGTGCACAGTGGGTAAAGTGCTGGACTTGGAGTCAGGAAAGCTGAAGTTCAAATTCTGAGCAAGTTCCTTAAGCACTCGCCGCCTCATCTGTAAAGTAGAGAAAATAATAGCACCTGCCTCGCCAGGTTGATGAAAAGCTCAACTGAGATAAACATGTAAAATGCTTTGCAAACCTTTGCAGAACTTTGCAAAGCGCTCTAGAAATGATGACTGTTTTTGTTAGGTGTTTGCATGGTGTCTCTCCATCAGAGAATGTAAGCTCCTTGAGGGCAGTGATGGTTTCACTTTTGTCTTTGCTGGTACATTGTGCTTAATAATTGCTTGCCTTTGGTTTTTGAATTATGAAAAGAAAAAGACGTCAGAAATGGTAAATAGCAGAGAAACAACTTTTCTTTGAATTGTAAACAGGTTTCTATTTGAGAGCTTTTTTAAAAAAAAAAGCAAATTAAATATGATGAGTTCTTACATTTAAAAGTGATAGTTTGCTTTCATAGGATCATAGATTATGAACTAAGACTTTTATAGGCCATCTAGTCAAAGCCCTTTCATTTCACAGATGAGGAAACTGACATCTTAGAAGGATGAACTGACTTCCTCAAGAGATGCACGGAGAATCAATCCCAAAGCCCCTAGGATTCAAACTCAAGTACTTTGGTTCCATGTTCAGTTTGGGGATCTTAAAAAGTCATCTAATACAGGGGTAAGTTCACATTTTTTTTTTGTGAGGCAATCGGGGTTAAGTGACTTGCCTAGAGTCACACAGCTAGTAAGTGTCAAGTGTCTGAAGTCGAATTTGAACTCTGGTACTGCTGACTCCTGGGCCAAACTCTTTTCACTGAACCACCTAGCTGCCCCTGCATTTATTTAAAAATGTAAAAACCATTCTTGTCTCAAATGGGGCAGGCCCTATTTGACCCGAGGGCAGAGTTTGCTGACCCCTGATTTACTAGAACATTTTATATATGAGGAAACTGAGGCCCATAGAGGTGAAGTGACCTTCCCTGGTCCCCCAGGAAATAACAGGCAAAACGGGAACTCAGATCCTCTGGTGCTAAATCCACTATACATTGTTGATCAGTCTTTAGTAGTTCTTTTGTTTTAATTATATATTGTGTGTTCAATACGCATGCAAATTAATTAATTTAATAAGTCTCTACTATGGGCCAGCCACTTTTCTAGGCACCAGGAATAAAAGAACTAAAGGAGAAACAGTCACTGTTCACAAAATGCTTGCATTCTTTTTTTTTTCCTCAGTCAGAACCTATTATTTCACTGGAAAGGGAGCTCTTGATGGATCTGTGAACTAGTCCAACCACCTTAGGAAGGAATTTGGAATTATACTAAGAAAGTGACAAATGGGCATACCCTTTGACCTAGAAATTCCATTGTTAGGCACATACCCCAAGAAGATCAAAGATTTTATACACACACACACACACACACACACACACACACACACAAAACACTTAGAAGTAGAAATATTTTTGTAGTAGCAAAGAACTGGAAACAAAGATATGCATCCATTAGGAAATGATGAAACTATGGCATATGTGCTTTTAATGGGTTTAGTTTAAAACAAGAATACAGAGAAGCATAGAAAGACATGAGCTGATGCAAAATGAAATAAACAGAACTAGAAACACTATATACTCACTGAACACAACAATGTAAAGTGAAAGATCAACAGAACCAATGTATAATTGTAATGAAAAAGCCTGGCCCCAAAGAAGAGATTAAAAAATGTTGATCCCTGCCTTCTTTGCAGAGGTGGGGCACTATGGATGTGGAACACTATATTTGTAAAATTATTCCCTTCCCCACTGCCGTCCCCCCTTTAAACTTCTTTGTTGCAAGGGATGGTTCTCTGGGGTACAAAAGCAAAAGGGATATATTAGGAAATGAAAGTGATATAGAAAAAAA